TTGTATGTTTTTTCAAGCAGAAGACGGCATACGACGTATTGCATGTATGTACATACAACGGGCCTAAACGTTTGCTACATGCAATTTAATTCTAAATATTCTTAACTTCTTTTCCTCTGCCTATGAAGTGCATTTAATAACAATTGCCGTCTACCTAAAGTTCGCGATAATTGAGTTTATTGTAATAAACGTTTGCTAGATTAGAGAAAGAAAGGGAGTGCCTGTGTTTTCCGCGTATATTGAGATAATTCGATCATTATAAAAAAACAATTTTTATACTAGAAAGAAGATTGAAGAAAATTTGTCTTACATTTTGTTCAAATGTAGTTGAAGATGTTGAAGTTCAAATGTTCGCAAAAGATATGCTATGTTCTCGCCGTTTGTTTCGTCGTCTATGAAGTCCAATGGCGGAGAGAAACGTAAAGGGGCTATCCCGGCTTTGGGATTATCAGAATCCCCTCCCCTCTATACATTAACGCCAATACATCCATTTTTTAAATAGATACTACATAGCAACATCCATTTTCTGTTATTGTCGATAAAATTATATTGTCGAAAATAGATGTGGTTTGAATCTGTGCTACATCTACAAATAAAATGTGTGCATATCCGTGCTACCAGAGTTGAAATGAGAGATACGTTGATATGTTAAAACACGTTAACGATATCTCCCATTCTTGCCAGCTCTGGTAGCATGCACATTTTATTTGTGGATGTAGCATAGACTCGAACCACATTCATTTTTAACGTTATGATTTTATCGACAATCAAAAAATGGATGTATAGCTATATATATTACTCATTTCAAAAATTAGTTAATAGACTAGTTTGCGGGGGGGAGGGGGTCTAACGATTTCACGGGAAAGGCCGGAACGGTCGCTTTCATCCTATATTCTACAATAGCCGAAAGCCGTAAAAGTTGATTATTTAATTTAAGACAGAGTAAGTCATAAATTTTTTAAAAGTAAAATCAAGTTAAACAATATTTTAAAATTATAACATTTAATTAAATTAGTTTATTGTGTACAGCCAAATTTTAAATCTACTTTCTATTAATATTTCTGGATAGAAATAAATTTTACAATATAACAATATTTAAATTTGTTCAAAATAATTCAAAAAAATTTGCAGATGGCATATCATGACTGTTATGAGGAAAATGTTTTAACAGTACTAAAGCTTTTGCTATGGAAACTAAGAAAAAGGAAAGTTTTATAAAAATATTCTCATAAAAGTATATTTAAATTATTATGTAATATGTTGTGTTATTAGAATTTTGATATCTTCCTATATTTCTATCATTTTGTTGCTGTATTATATCTCGACAATTCCTTGACTAGACTGTATATTTCGTATTTTTTTTTGTTATGGCTTTCCTGACGGCTAGAAAAGTTTAATTGGAGAAGAGGGGAAGAAGTCTTTGTATTACATGATGTATCGGACGTAAATGCCATATCATATGTCGATATTACAAAAATAATGTACATTTAACGTATAACACTAAATATCTTGATATTCGTAGATAATTATCAGATAAACTTGACATTATAAAAGGACAAACTCGATTTTAATCGGTGGAGATATTGCGAGACGGTATTGAGTTGAGTTCTGGTATATCACTTGTTTGCGCGATGTCAGCTTTCTGTATATATGCTCGAATGCACAAATATATTATGTAGACACGATGCAATATATACAATATACATCACACTTGAGGTTAATGGTTATCCGAGTGATACGTATTTAAAGAATAAAACATAGAAGAGGGATGTGGTGAGGAGACACGATCGGGGACATCTGGCTTACTCCTCCAAGTCCAGGTCCCCCAGTTCTTCTTCCAAACCCTCTAAGTCCTCTTCCACGAAAAGATTTTCGTTAATAGCTACGGCAATAGCACCCTCATCCACAGTCGCTGCAATAGAGAAATTAAATATTAATTATCAAATAGAATATAATTTTCAAATACAGTATAATAATTAATACGATTACTATCTGCGTTCAATCAATATAAATTCTCACGTACTGAGATATTATTTACGGATGATTACATATAATTTAAAAATTTATATACAAGTCTAAACTTGAATCATTTATAATTTATATACTTCCAAGTTTAAAGCATATTTTAACTATATTTTAACTATAAACGTGGAATATAAACGTGTCGACATTAATTGATATGATTGTAACCTGTAATATCTTCATTGTCATCAGTTGCATTATTGGCCTTTAATCGATCTGCAGCTGCTACTGTGATACCGTTACTGTCTATTTCGCTAGCTTCGAAAGCAAGGCGGTCCGTATCGAGTTCCCTATACTGTACATCTTCAGACTCATCTTCTTCTTCACGAGCGTAACTAGATATTGCTTCATCTCCTTCGTCGATACCTGCATTTAAATAATGTTAGTATTTAAATATTTAAATAATAAATTCTATATTAGAAGAATTTTAGTAAGCGGTAACGAGGTTTTACCGTCTCCTGCTGCAAGCTCTGGGTTAAAGTAAAACATTTCTCTTCCTGATATGCCGACTTGACGACCAGCTTTATAATCGTTTCTCTTCTTCTCTTCATCCCTGATTGCCTGCTCTTGTTTCTCTTTCAACTTTCTCTTCTTCCAAGCCAAAAATGTCTCTAGCGTTATCTTAGTCTGTTGAAAATTTTTATTATATGGCAAAATATAATCTCGGAACATTTTGTGTTTATGTGAAATTTATTTTTTGTTTAAGAATTTTATACATATATTTCATGCACATTATTCGTACCTGATTAGGTCCCAAATTAGCCCTTTCTGTTTCTATTAGATCTTCCAGGGAGATTTCATCCTTCTTGTCCTCCTTTTTCTTATCTTTCTTCAACACAAATCCAGGAGGTAAAGCGTGCCTGTAGATGCATTTTTGACCAGAAGGGCATTCCCAGAACCAACCATATTTCGACTTCTCTACTGCTTCCAAGAAGTGTTTGCATATCTAGCGAGAAAAAGTATATGTTGGTTCATATTGTCATAAATTAATTGAATTATTACGCTCGAATTATTTTTTACAATTGAACTATTATAAATGCTATTTTGTGCAGCTTACAATGTCGGTAGTTGGACGATTGCCACTGCCATGCTTCTTTTCCACAACCTCTTTCAGCTTATCCTCATCCCATTTATCCATCGTATCCGCCTCCTTATCGTCGTCATCTCTCATATCACAATACAGAGATCGTTTCTCAGCTTTCCGCTCGATGCTCAAATCGTGCGAGAATTTACACTTATCTCCCTTTGTACACTGTCCCTGCTTAAAAAAGGCGCACACGACAGACTTGGGATCTATACCTGCAAAAATTGTTTCACACCACAGTATTATTGTCTTTATTTAAAGTTCCGTTTGGTATTTAATTGAGTTTCCAAATATAGCCAATGTATTTTAATACCTTTGTCTATCTTTTGTATTTGAACGGGTTTAAAAATAAGAGCTAGTTCCTTCTGCTCCTTCAGCTTTTTCTCCTTCTCCAACTTTTTGACATTAGGATCCTCGATTTTACGGGGATTTACACCACCCGACTTCACTTGCTTCTCAACCTGCTGAATGAACTTCTGCTGCTTGGCGCCCTTCTTGTTTTTTATACCGAACGTTTTGTCCTTGAAAAAGAAAAAAAAATGTTCAGAGGGTTTCAGAAACGTCACGTTTCACACGTGAGTATGTTAATCAAAAATATGGCATAAATTAATCAGTTTCACATATTCATTTTGAAAACATGTGGAATCCCAGTTTGTGGTTAGCAGGCGAAAAGTGTCTTCTACCTCGATAACTTTCTCCTTCTTCTTTTGCTCCGCTTTCTTGCTCGGCGCCGGCGCTTTTTTCGGCGGCATTCTGTCAACTCGAGCACCTCACCCCGATGACAGAAACTGCCTGAAACCCGTTGAGAAATTTCAACGATACCTCCACTTTTTTCCGAATATACCGTACTGCCTACTGAAATCAGCTGCAATCACCACCACGTTATTTTCAATCACAGTGACAACACTGACAACCTTCGTGCGAAATAAAGCTATCAAGAAACACGAAAGTAATTAAGTAATAGGCTGTATTTAGAATGTAAATTGTATGCATTTAGGCATTAAATAGCGGGCATTTGTGATATTTAGTTAATATTAAATAATATATCAAATAGAAAAATGTCAAATGTGCATTTTGTTAAATCGATTTCCTTGTCTAGTGACTTTTCGCTCCTGCGTGGGCGATTGGCGAACCTGCTTGAGGCTTTCGGCTCGCGAATTGTCACTAACTTCAGACTTCTCCGCGCCACGTTGTGCGAGATGCCCTTTCGTTCGGCGCGGTGAGTGTGGAGTCCGAGTTCAGCATTCACGAGTCAATCAACGTTAAACCGAAGGCGCCGTTATGGCGAAATTCGATTTAACGTCTCGCATAGGTCAATACCTGGACCGCCACTTGGTGTTCCCTCTGCTGGAATTCCTGTCGGCGAAGCAGGTAAACGGCGGTGGTGGACGCCCGGGCGCGTCGTCGCGACATTTGCATTTTGGTTATGTCACATGTGGTACGTTGCAGATTTACGATGAGGACGAGCTGCTGCACGCGAAACTCGATATCCTCAGCAAGACGAACATGATCGATTACACCATCGACATCAGGAAGCAGCTTTATCCCAACGTGGAGGTGCCGGAGGTGCGTATCGCCGTGTAACGTGTGTCACTGTTGATCGTGAAGGGATCGTCATGGCTTCAGTTCACCGTCGTAGATTCAGATTGTGCATGTTACATGATTGACTAAACGTTAATGACGTTGCAGGAGATAAAATCCAGACGTGCTGACGTGCTGCAAGAGCTCGGTGTACTTCAGAATAATGTCTCGGTAGTGCTGGCGCTCATGAATAACGAGGAAGTTATGAAGAAGATGGAGAACATGCGCGACTCCAAAGCGCTTAATAATTATCTCACTCAAGAATCAGATGTAGGTAGAACAGTTATTATGTTTACTATGTTAGACATGATGGAATACTTTGACCCAGTGTTATAACAAGATGTATTGTGAGTGTAAAAAATTTTTATTGTTTTTTTCTTCATTCGTGTTACAGTTTAGGGTAGAAATGATGGACAGCTTTGTGAAGCTGGCAAAGTATCGTTACGAGTGTGGCAATTATTCTGTTTCTACGTCATATTTATACTTCTACATGCTGATTATGCCCCCTACCGATAAGGTACTGTCAATTTTTAATGAATTATGAAAATTAAGTACAATAGGTTTCATAAAATTATCTATTCTAATATTTATATTTCTTTCCTCTAACTTTTATATATCATAATTTCCAGAACTATTTAAATGTCTTATGGGGAAAATTGGCATCAGAGATTCTTGTACAAAATTGGGAAACGGCATTGGAGGATGTGAACAAGTTGCGAGAGTACATTGACAGTAATGTTATCGGCAATTCACTTCAAGTATTACAGCAACGCACATGGCTGATTCACTGGAGTCTATTTGTGTTCTTTAATCATGTGAAGGGACGAGATCTCATTATCGAAATGTTTCTCTATCGGCCGCAGTACGTAAAAGTTTTTAAGAAAGTGTTTAATATTTACGAAAATTAAAAAATTATACTATATATTTTACAGTTATTTAAATGCTATTCAAACGATGTGCCCGCATATACTTCGTTACTTGGCTGCGGCAGTTATCGTCAATCGCTCCAGACGATCTATTCTGAAGGATCTCGTGAAAGTGATACAACAGGTCAGATTTTTAAATCATCGTTTTATAAGGCATATAAACAAATTTGTACAAGTTTTCTTAAAATAATAAATTTAATAATTCAAATTGTAAATAATAAATTCAATTTAAGTATAAAATAAAAAAGATAATATTCATAATTAACTTTTGCTAAAAAAATGATGCAAATTGAGAAATTTTTAACTACAAGAAACCGTGAGATTTTTTAATTGCATATTAATGAAATGTTTTATGTAACGTAAATATCTTCTAATATAAAAAACATAATATATACAGGAATCTTACACCTATCGGGATCCCATCACGGAGTTTCTGGAGCATTTGTATGTTAATTTTGATTTCGATGGAGCTCGGCAGAAGTTGCAGGAGTGCCAGACGGTTGTCTTCAACGACTTCTTCCTAATCGCTCTTCTGAATGAATTCGTAGAAAATGCACGACTGATGATTTTCGAAACATTCTGCAGAATTCATCAATGCATTAGTATTCAGTATGTAATTTTTTGCGTCATGATCATATCAAAATCAGATTGATTATTATCCAAATCTAGTGTTTATATTTTTACTTTTAATTTTTACGTTATTTAGAATGCTTGCGGAGAAATTAAATATGAAGGCGGATGTTGCGGAGTGCTGGATTGTGAACTTAATCCGTAATGCACGTTTGGACGCTAAGATCGACAGCAAGTTGGGACATGTAGTCATGGGAGGACAGCCGGCGTCCCCGTATCAACAATTGGTTGAGAAGATTGAGACTCTGAGTGTACGAAGCGAGGCACTAGAGAATCTAATTGAGAGAAAACTAAAAGCGAAGAATCAAGACCCAGTAAGTATAGTGTGGAACTAACAGAGGTCAGTATCATTCACAATCGTATTGCGCGTCTAACATTACATTTTGTTCATTTAATGCATAAAACATTGCAGTAGACATGAGAAAAGTGAAGTAAAGTTATGCATATTATAAATGTCAAATAATGGTATACATAATAATTCATTTAATTTGTGTTTAATTGTATTTAATATCTAATCCAACTTTCATACGTTCCAATGTATTATTTTAATGTTCGTTTATTTGTTGAATTTGTTTTTGTCAGTTATACTAAAACTGAAGCGTTTCTGTTCCGTTTTCTATTGTTTTGCCATTACATGCAACCGTTACAAAAGTGTGACGTATTTTTAAAATGTACTTTTCTTGCATATGAATTTTGAAATAATAAATTTTAAAAACAATTCACTTTCGTTTCAGTATCATTCGTGGAACTTGGATTTGTGACAACTCGATGCAACGTGGAGAAACAATGCCCAAAAAAGATATTCCGATTGTTAACAGTAATCAGATTTTGACGTAATGTACCTTCCAAATATAAAGAAATAATGCATTGTGACATAATGAAACCAGATGTATTTTTATTCGATAATAATGGCAGTATCTTGGAGTTGTCAAACGATAATAAATATTGAGCGACTAATAACATTTTATAAGAGAAAACATCGCATTTATTTATTGTATCCCTGTGTCTTTAACATTTTGAAGATTAGAAATCATTATTAATTATCCTATTATATATTAAAAAATTTTTAAAAATAAAAAATAGATATATTTCATACAAGAATTAAAAAAAATATTCTAGTTTTAATATGTTGTAAATTAGTAGTTCGATCATAATAAAAGCGTGCCAGAAAAGTCACTTGTTCTTATGTCATACCAGCTTTAATATGGAAATTATAATTATGTATTATAATTTTAATTATAAAACAATAATTATAATTATGTCTTAACATTACCAATGTATATCACACTCTTAACGCAATTATGTTACGGGATATTATTTAAGTTCTAATTTTTACATTAAGATCTGTTATATGCGAAGGTAAAAAATTACATCCTGTATATCCACCATGATTGATACAATATGTAAGAATACTTCTCCAGTACGGATCTAAAGCCAATAATTTTGGATTTCCCAGGATAATAAGTAGAGCGCGAGCGCGAGTGACTGCGACGTTGAGCCTCCTAGGCGAAGAAACGAAGCCTAGGGCGTGCTTAATGTCTTCTTCAATTAGAACATCGCACGATCTGACAGTCGAAATAATGATTATGCTCCTTTCTTGGCCTTGAAATCCTTCCACACTGCTGATTTTTGGCAATTGAAGATCTAACTCCAACAGCAGTTCTCGGATTTGCGTCACCTTGATTTATATAAAAAAAAAAAAAAACGATTTTTACGGTAGTAAGGATGGGGAAAAAATTGCCCTTTAATACATTGTAGAATTTTACTTAAAATACGCATGTATACCTGTCTCTGATATGGGGTTATAACTCCTATACTATTCGGCTTAATTCCGTATTTGTACAACTTCAACAAATAGAGATACACTTGTGCCGCTTCTTCGGGATTGTACCAGCTCGGGCTCTCGGAATCTCGGTAGTTCTCACCGTTGACTCCGTGGAAGATTATGGCCGGTGGCGATCCATCTCTGTTGGGCAGCTCCGCTCTCAGCTTCTCCAACAGTTTAGCTTCGTGACTGTTCTCAGACGATATCTAAATATCGCGAGCAAACAAGTTGTATAGTTAATTTACGGAAATCCGAATTTAACATAACACCCTTTCTACACGTACTTGCGGTTTTAATTCGGAATCATAAAACATCATGTTTGGTAGATGCAGTATCTCTGGTAAGCTTCGATAGTTCATCACGAGTTTCGTAACGAGCCTGGGATCGTAGCCAGTCTTGAATCCCTCGGGGTCTCTCTGGTAAGGAAAGTGATGTAGAAGCCTCGATAGGAACGATTCACTGAGTCCAAAGTACATCGCCAGTCTGCTCTGCACGACGGGACCAAGTTGCATCGGATCACCCGCGAGTATCACCTGGCCGTAATCGGAATGAATGAAATTCAGGGGAATCATGATCTCTGGTTCGGTCGCCTGACCCGCCTCGTCAATTAAAACATGCGAGAAATGACCGTGGGGAAAACCCATGTTGTGCAACAGCGCCAACGTACTGCAGGTGCCGACGGTAATTCTATGGCGACCTAACACGGACTTGGTGCAGTTCATTTTCATTCCGTTCTCGTGATGATGGAAACGATCGGCCGTCCCCTCGGCAGCTAATTCTGCTGTGGCGCAGTAAGGTAACAGTTTCTCGGGTATAGAATCATTACTAAGGCAATGATAAGCTACCAATCGAACCTACGGCATATAATGAACAAATATAATGAAAATGAAGTCATTTAATAATGTGCGATCTAGTTGTTATTTACAATTCTTTATTTATTAATGTACATACGAATATATGGTTGATTTATATTAAAAATGTTATCAGGTATTAATGATTCAAATGAAAGAATCTGTGAAAAACGTACCAAATCGCCCGGCTTAAGTATGTTGCTGTCCAACAGATGTTCCGTTATTAAGTTCGCCGAGCTATTCGACGGCGTTGCTACGAGGATTCTGCTTTCGGAAATCACGGTCGAAAGTTGTAAGATTGTCTCGCATATAGTTATTGTCTTTCCAGTTCCAGGCGGGCCAAATATAACGTAGGGTAATGGACGCGCTAATCCTAATATTATGTTTCTCACAGCCTCCTTTTGATAATAATTCAATTTTTTATTAAACCATTGTAATTTCCGTTTTTTTAATTGGTTAATGTACGGTTCTAGTTCATTGTTAGTTGGAGCGATCGATTTACTTGGCGTCCTTGAAAGTGTGGCGTTAGCAATGTTAGTTTTACTACCGTTGGCACTTCTTCCCGAATTTGTTTGGAAATTCATTCCTGTTCTCGTAACTGACGTCGTTGTTTCTTCGAGTGACGATTCAATTGACTTAGAATTAAAAAGTCTTTCCGCTACCGCGATTCTTGGAGACACTTTAGCGCTACTATCGGAAGCCGTACTATTGATAGAAGAGGAACTGCCAGAAGATGTAGATTTATGCTTGTGACGAGCTTGCTTGCGAGTGGGAGTCTCTTCGGCCTCATACTCTTCCAAATGGAACTGTGGCTCTTTTTGCACCACTCTGGTAGGAAACAGAAAGTCAACTCCAAGATGGCTGACAGCTAAATTAACAGCATAATGACAACGTTGAATAGTACTGTGCGAGCTTTGAAATGTCACTTGACAATCCTCGCCATTGTATTTTTGATGAAATGTTTCGTTAAATTTCAAAAGGATCTGTGTACTTTTGATTTTGTGAATGTAGCCTTCGTATTTTAGTTTCCCTGTTACAAAAAGAAGCCAATAAAGAAATTACCAATGTTTCAATATATTGAAATTAGTTTTAAAATTACATGTTTATCTTCCAATATACATACAATATAATATCAAAATGTTTTCAACATGCTTTTTTTCTTATAAATATTACCTTTAGAGTTACTCCAACTGAAAGATACTACAGCTTTATCGCCAACCATGAGGGAAGGCCGTTTTTCTGACAATCCTGACATTTCGAGCGCAAGATAATCACCGCACCGTCGCATTACCGCGCTTGTCATGTTGTATCTTTGTAAACAGAGCGTTTGAGCTATCTGCTCCAGATACAATAACATATGGAAACGCTCCTTATATGTCGCGAAGGTGAGCGGATTTAGAAGACAAGGTATCCGCTCTTCGATAGCGATCTCTGACTCTGCCTGCGATCTTTTACTCTGCATAACATCCAAGACCGCGTTCCAAACGTATCGCGGTACTTTGAACATTCCAAAGCGTACTTTGATAAACGCAGGCGATTTGGTAGGTCTCACTCCAGGGATGCATGTAGTTTCAATTAGCTCGTCCACGTCAAGTGAATTAATTTTCTCATCTGTATAAGGTTTTTGTACAGCGGAACTGGTCTTTTGCGAGATGTTCCTTGTATTGACAGTTATGCGAAACACTCTAGCTATCTTGAAGTGTTTGAAATTAAAGATGAATATTTCCTCGGACGTACCGGGAAATTTCGCTATGCATTTGAATGTATAAGTAATGCTTTCGGAAGGATTTATCACTGTGTTAATATCTGTATTTGTATGTGACACTAGTGACAATTGAGACGGAGTTTTCTGCGGCACGAAGGAACCACTTAATAACAAGTGAATATAGCTGCCGTTATTTCGTATCGAGACCGTCAGGGTGCTTTCTTCTTTTATATTCAAATTGAAGTTTAATTCGTCATCTATGACAACACCATATTTGTTTTGTAAGTCATTAGGGTCTAATGTGGAAGAAATATTACTTATCGCTGATAATTCAGTGGATTTATTTGTAGCCTAAAACAAGAATATAAAACACAAGGTAAACACTTAGAAATGTATTATATAATGGGGCTTTTAATTAAACTCTTTTAAGGGGTCTCACCACCCCTGTCTTAAAATGATACCTAAGTTTGGGATTTCTTTGTGGGCAAATAGATAACTTTATTTAAAGGCTGTTTAGAGGACATTGTTGTATATATGTACATATATAAGAAACTAAAAAAATATTCTTTAATTTTTTTACGTACAAAATGGCGGCTCAATGACTTACTTGTGGAATTTCCTTTTTTTCTTTTTTTTCAAATTGATGTACAGGATTCCAGGCACACGGTTTGATCTTGAACAAAACACAAAGAATTTTCATTATCTACATATTAAAGACTATAAAAGTACGTAAAGATTTTTTAAAATTGATTTTTCTCGAAATGGCTATTTTTACGAAAAGTTCGTATTTTTGTCAATACAAGTAAAGTAGTTGCCATTTTGAGAAAAATCAATATTTTGAAAAATCCCTACGTATTTCTCTAGTCTTTAATATGTAGATTGTAGATAATAAAAATTCATTATGTTTTGTTCAAGGCTAAACCATGCCTGAAATCCTGTAAGTCGTGGACACATCGGTTGCAACACTTTTTATATATTTTTCTAATATATATTTAATATACATAATATATATTTTATAGATACTAATATTTTGCAAATGCGAACCACGATGTACTATCTTTAGTCTAGAGACAGTATAACACCAATCGTGGTTCATATTTGCAAAATATTAGTACGTTTTGAAACCTATAAAAAAGAAAGTGTCCATAATTGTACATCGATAAAAAAAAAAGGATTTCACAAGTGCAGGCCAGTGCACCGCCATTTTGGACATAAGAAAAATAAAAAAATATTTTTTTGGTTTCTTATATATGTACAATAATGTCTTCTAAGCAGAGTTTAAATAAAGTTATCCATTTATCCACAAAAAAATCCTAAACGTAAGGTATCATTTTAAAACGTCAGGGGTGGTGAGACCCCATAAAGGTATATAAAAAAAATGTAAAATAATTAAATTCTTACGTGGTTTAGCGGAACTACTTCCACTGATCTCCATTTGTACAGTCCTTGTTCGCTTTCTATACTATCGCTCACTACTTTGTCACCAACGCAGGGAATGTAACCCATATTGCACGCGCGCTTGTAAAAAATCACGTGCTTATCAATTACTCCGACTTCGGTTTCCGGATCGTATTTCGATATCACACCGTTGTATATCTTGGATCGCAACGGTCTGATTTTATCGACCTCCAAGACTTCGCCGCTCAGATCTGCGAAGTTGTCGTCTACCTCGACCAAGGACTCTAACGTCAGCCAATCGCCGACCACGGGAATGAAGTCGGAGCTCACTTTGCTAAGGTCAATGCGAATGTCGTTCGGGAAATACTCGACAATGGCGATTCGGCCCTCGCGTTTCACCACCTTGGCGATTACACTCCTCGGTATCATGTGAGTGTGAGCATCGACCCCCAATTTGATATTCGGGTTATCCCAGCCGTCATTTATGACATGGATAATTTTTCGTACTTTCGGCACCGCGTCAGGGTTCCGTAGGTACAGTAAGTACTGAATCTTATCACCTACTTTCAGACTGTTAGTCAAGTCATCGAGCTTTTCGTGCATGTAGCGATTGTCTATAAGGACGTGATTCACGGCGACTTGAGTGACACTTCCCGTTTTATAGTAACATCCCTCTTCGTTCAGTTCATTTTCACTTTTGTTTACAGTCACGTTTGCGCTCGTCTCGTTTGCGCACTCTATACGCGATATAACTTCATCTATGTTCTCCTCCGCGGTCTTCTCGGGATATACATAGTTCAGAGCGTATTGGATCCCGTTATAGAGTAATGACAGCATCTTTTAATTTCTCTGGCTCCTATCCAAGTACCTGCGGATCATAAAAGATAGCTTAGCCATTTTAATAAATGCTTTTTTTTATCTAAATATGAATAATTAACCTTTAAACCACCACATCCAAAAAAATCACACCAACTACAATGTCGGTCTGACAGACCGCTATTATGCTCCCACTAATTTTATAAGTTAATTATAATAAAAAATGTATGGTTTCTGAATACTTGTTGATGGGGAAAAGGAAAGATATGTTTTAATGTGAAAGTTAACAAAAAAAATCTCATATGCAAAAGAAATAAAATATATTTAAATGGCGACAAATATACTTTATAAATTGTTTACTTAAATTTAAAGTGAATAAAAAATATTATTTTAATAATTGTCTTAAAATTGAATAGTTGACTAGCGAAAACAAAAGTGTAATTTACTATTAATGTTATTAATGTTATTAGAGTTATTTATTATATATAATCTCTTTTATGTTATGCAACTATATATTTAAAGGAACTGTCTGAACTTTTAAAAACATTGTTGGCATACCAATTAAACAGTGCACATCTTTCGCGAACGCTAAACAAATCAATGTCTCGCATTTTATGCGCATTTATATGCAGTTTTCAGGGTTGGGTAGTGCCTAGTTAAAAAGATAAAAGTTAAAAAATTAAATAATTTTAACTTAACTTAATTACATTTTAGGCTCTTAACTTTTAACTTAATTTAGTTACATTTTATCGGTAACTATTAACTTTTGATCTAACTTTCTTGAAGTTACATTTTTAGTGCTTTTTGTAAACCCAGAATAAAATACATGTCTAAGTTAGTGTCTTCAAACTCAAATTTGAGAACACACATCAAGGCAATTGTAATAATATAATAAATACAATTTGACCGCGGGAAGGAATCACTGTTCGCAGATCTTCTGTGCATTAAATCACGTTGGAAGAAAGCCTTTCGAAATCGGTCCTCTTTCCGTGGCTCGACAGAAATAAGTATAACAAATATATACTTTATTTAGAAACTTTACTTAGAAATTCTAAAATTATAAAATAAAAAATTTAACTTTAACTTTTCAATTACTTTTTTTTATTAACTTAACTTTTAACTCAATTAATTTTATTGTGGACTAACTTGTATCTTAACTAAGTTCAATGTTTAAACAGTTAACTTTAATTTAGTTAAAAAAAATATTATATTAACTTACCCAACCCTGGCAGTTTTACATTTTAATTTATAATGGCATAATGTGCATGTTACAAAAATTATGGCATAAAAAGCTTTATGTCATTATTTTGTATTTTTTTAGTCTTTTCTAGTATCAAAATATACACCAATAAATACAAGTTAATATGAGTAAATAAGACGTAGATTAACCCTTTGAAGCATGGTGGTCTCTACGGGGACCACCTTTTTTACCCGCTAATTTTATTTATAAAAATTCAATTTCAAAGTATTTAAAAATAGTGGTTGGTTTTTCTAGTAGCTAAAGTATTTGTCTACAATATTACACCACTAATGTTTAAATTTCATTTGTTGTAAAATTGTTATAAATAAACAAACACCAAAAAATGCAGTTTTTTTGGGGAAAAAAAGGGTTTTCCAGCTTATTTGAGATTCGATTTTCATGGCAATTTTTACTAATTGGTTTTTATGGTCGCTGATGACGAATCCGGGGTCAGATTTCCAAAATTCAAAATGGCGGATTCAAAATGGCCGATCAAACATTTTAAAAATAATATACTTTGATCTGAAAATATTTACTCGGGAGTTTTTTGGGCTGCTGAGTATAAATATGCAATCAGTTTTCAATTTTTATGCGTCCAAGATGGCGAATTCAAAATGGCGGAACAAGAATATATACATAATATATACATAATAATATATACACTATATACATTTTTCAGTGCGACAATGTAAATATTCCATGTGTGATATTTACAGGGCTTCATAGCCACCCTAGTAGAAAACGAAGCCAGATTCTGGACAGTTTATCTAGTTCCCATTGCTTACAGCGATTCCAAAAACCCCCGAAAACCCAGTTTTATTTTGATCAAGAAACTTTTTCCGAATTCGCTCCGCCATCTTGGATACGTTTTATCTTGGATATCATTTTGAATTTTGAAAATCTGAGGTCATATACGTAATCAGCGACCCCGAAAACCCCCGAGTAATAAATTTCAACTGTTTTCCATGTAAAGAAAAATGTGTGCTTCAAAGGGTTAAGAAATACATACATTCTCAATACTGCGAAAAAGTAACGCAACCATAACACCGGTCTGTGAGACCGCTACAATTTTTCAAACATTTTATATTTTACACGTTTCCAGCGAATGACAATAAGAAATAAGACTACCACAGCGTTTCGTAAGAACAGATGGCATATGAAGGTACTATGAGTTTAGAGTGTCTCTTGTGAATATTAAGAAAACTATTGACAAGTAAAGCTTCAATAGCGATCTGTGAGACCGATATAGTGGTTTAAGAGGATGCTGAAAGGTCGGGAATTACCGATATTTGCATTCTAATGGATAACATCGAAACGATTGAACAGATTTTAAAACGCTTTTACAGGATTGAAATAGACATAAAATATTATCGCGCTAGGTATATATGAATAGTAAAAACGAAAAAATATTCAAAATTGATTTTTTTTGGGGTACATAACCTATCATCTGACATAAACATTTTATTGATACAAAAGTTCTGCAGCTCATATGCACAAAAAATGTACCTAGCGCGCATCGGATTACTTGCACGAATAATACAAAACCTTTTGAGCTACGATTGGAAGCATAGAAAAAAAGTTGTTCATTAGAATGCAATTTGTGGTAATTCGTACAAAGTAAAGACAGCAAAAATTGCGTCTAGTAAGTGCCGAATTTTCCAAGAGATGGCACTTCAATAAGTTAATTAAGGACATTCCACGTGTTTGAGTGAGACCAGAAGATATTGTAAGAAGTTCATTTAAAGATACCACTGACACTGAAAAGTCTGCTTTATCGACCTTGTACAAATTTGGCCGACCTTTCAGCATCCTCTTAAAGCGAATATGCCGGAAGGTTCGACAAATTTGTACGAGGTCGATAAAACAGTCTATTCAATTTCAATGGTACCTCTAAATAAACTTCTTACAATATCTTCTGTCTCAGTCAAACACGTACATTGTCCTTATCTAACTTATTGAAATGCCATCTCTTGCATAATCCAACACTTACTAACTACTAGACCCAATTTTTGCTGTTTTTACCATTCCGTATTTTGGTTATGCGTACGAATTACCACAAATTACAGATCAGTGGATATCTTTTTTTCTACGCTTTCAATCGTAGCTCAAAAGGCTTTGTATTATTCGTTCATGTAATCTGTGGTGTTAGACGTAAGCATTTTGTACATATGAGCTACAGAACTTTTACACTAATGAAATGTTTATGTCGAGGTTATGGTTAGGTGTCAGCTATACGACCCGAAAAAATGTAATTTTTTAATTTTTTTCCGATTTTACTACAAATTCGACCGTTTAACACCACAATTTCATGTCTATTTCAACCCTGTAGAAGGATTTTCAATTCCGTTCAGCCAATTCGAAGAAATCTACTAAACTGTAATGTGTCGGTATTTTCTACCTTCGGGCATCGCCTTAAAGGTTAATGCGGGAATACGCGGGAAAAGTAGTCGCTGACGGAGAAAACGAGGGAGAAAACAGGGACGAAGAACGCGAATAAAACATTTACCGATCAATAGGCTGATATCTCCACTCCGTCGCCTTGAGGTAGTCCAATTCTTTTCGTAAGGATTGCACGCGCTTCGCGTGGAGCTCTTTGAGGAATCGTTTACGCTGTTTCTGCTCCTGCAGTTCGGATTTCATCTGATTCAATATCTTGGACGTTTGAGTCGCGCTGGAGGTCAGCTCCGAGTCCTGGGATTCCGGCGTTCTTTGCCCCGTAGAGTGTCCCAGAGTGCTCGTCGACAGGGTGGACGAATTCATAATTCGGTTTGCGCGACTTAAGACAAGCGGTCACGCTGATACATGTTGTTGTGTACTTAACACTAACCTAACTTCCATCTTGAACTGGAATCGCAGGAGGCGACTGGCGACGCAGGCGCATTCCAAAGCTTATCGAGAATATTCGAGAAGACACTTTTTTTTATTTTTTCGCGTAGGTCTCTATTCTCTACACGTTATTGGTCGTTCGACAGGAAATTCAGAAATCTCTACATGTCTCTTGCTAGTGCTTTCTTGTCGCGGGAAATGTCCAAGTATTTAAATTTGATGAAAAGTTTTACAGTGAATTAAAAAAAAAAAATACAAAATTTTGGAAAAATTCAAAAATAGAGAAAACAGGAGAGAAGATTTTTATACAAAAACTTCTTGAGCAACATAATTAAATTTTTTGCTAACTTCTCGGGAAAAAGTTTCACATATAATTATATATAATTATATACAAAATATGTCCATATATATCCATATATTTCTTTTCTTTATAAAAAATAATTAAAAGGATAATTTTTGCATTGTTTTTTTGCAAAAATTCAAGTTTTAAGAAATGAGAAAAAATTGTTCATATATAATTATATATGTATATTTTTAATCATTTATATATAATTATATATGAGTAATTTTTTTCATTTATTCAAACTGATTTTTTGTAAAAAAAAAAAACAATATA